AATCCTCCATATATAATTCATAATTAGAGCAAGGTAAAATTCGTTAACCTCTCTAATTACTTCTTTATCCTTTAGTACCATTGATTCTCTAATGGACAGTGATTCATAAAACACATTCATGAATCGGAGCTCCTACTGGTCCAAGTACCGAATCAACCCTCAAGAGAATTATTTATCTACTTATTTCTTAAGAAGGAATGGATTCCATCTCGTATAATAACATTCCCGACTACCTACTTCATCATGTCTCCAAAATACAAGGAATAGGATTCAGGATCTCAGAATCCGTACCGAGTAAATCAAAAGACACAAATCCATAAATAGGAGTGTAACGCCCTCCGGAATTAAATTTATTTAATTATGATAATTGTGGTTTATTAGTGTGCCTAAATTGATTTCTTAATTAATCATGAACTTTTAAATTTATTTTTTTGGTAATTGCAGTTTCACCATTCTTTACTTTTATTTGTCTTTCTTTATTATTTCTTTTCCTCATTTTATTTTCCTTTTCTTCTTTTCTTTTCTTTCTTTCTTTCCTTTTCCCTCCTCTCCCGTAACCCTCTCACTCACTCACACTCTCTCTTAGTCTCTCCCTCTCTCCCTCACCGAGCTCTCTCTCTCTCTCTCTCTCTCCCTCTCCCGTTCATCTTTCACTTTCTCTCTCTCAAAGTTTCCTTTCTCAAGGGCCGGATTTAAAACGGAGGTTTCCAAGAGGTTTTCAACATCAAAGCTTAGATCGAGGTAAAACTCTTTGAAACTTACTTTAGATTTTCATATTTAACTTTGTGGAACTCGTTTTAGTCGAGTTTGGTGATTTTTGGTTTAAATTTTGTTTCCAAATAGAATTCGAATGGGATTTGGTGAAACCTTGATGAAAATTGGGGGTTTTTGATTCTTTGGACCCCATTTGTTGATTTGAAACTGGATTTATACATTTCCCTTGAGAATATGTTGAAATCGGACCCAAAATTGCAGGTTTTGGCTTTGTTCCTCGCGAATCGGCCATTGTTGGCCCTAGAATTCTTCCCCACCGGTTGACCGGTCCGGTCGACCGGTCACCCTTCCATAGGTCGACCGATCCGGTTGACCGGTCACCTCTCCACCGGCTGACCAGTGGAGTTACACTCCTTGTCACTGGTCGACCGGTTCCTACTGAAACCGACCATAAACAGTCCTAAAACTCTAATTTGACTCTGAAATCCGATGTGGGATTGACCTAACCTCATTTGAGAACTCAAAATGAGTGGATTAGCCACATGAATTCTTATTTTTCCATTCGATTCTCCGGAATGAATCTCTATCTACAAAGAATCATGATTTGAATTAAGAATTGTTTATGAACATTGATTTTGAACTATGGCACACTAATATGATACAATTGCATCTAATTAAACGAGAATGTTTGGTGAGAAAGATCAACCTCTAAATTGTTGATTTTGATGAGAAAGTTAGTGGCACGATTGGAATTGGAGCCTCAAAGGCAAGCGGAGATAGGGCTACGGGAAGACAGCCACAGGTTTGATATCCAACAGGTAGGATATTCTTGTCTATATCCTTGTTAGCCTCATTTTAAATGGTTTTAGCCAATGAAAATATTTTAGAACAAAACATGATTAAAGTAAATGATTTTAAAAGAAATAGCATGTGAATGCTATTAGGTTTTCCAATGATGTTGGAAATGAGATTTTAAAGAGTATCATTTCTTAAAATGAATTATTTAAGGAATGATACAACGCATGGTGGCCACAGAGATCGAGATGTGTGAATCGCATCCTTGGGGGCAGGTCCCGAAACCCGTACGGATCCACTTCTTGTTTAGTGGAATTATGGCTCTATACTTTTCATTTGACAGAAATTTTTACCGCTTCTTGTTTAGTGGTATGATGAGCTGCACACTTTCATTATACAGATATTTTCTACTATGTGAGTATTTCCTTTTCTAAAAAGGGATGACCGGTTCCGGGTGTATATCTTCAGACCGTGAGTACTTTTATTTTAAATGCTTTATAAAATTATATCCTACTGGGCCTTTCGCTCACATTTCTTGTTTTCAAATGTATTAAACCCCTCCAAGCGACGCAAGGAGTAGTGCGGAGTAGGTAGCCACTACCGGTGATGTGGACTTGACCTCAGAAAGTGAAGAGTTATCTTTCCTTCCTCTTATTTTTTATTTTAAGGCATGTATAAAAGATCATGGATTGTAAACTTAAATATTACTAGACTGTGGTTGATGTCACATTTACTCATGTTTATATTCATGTATGCTAAACACCTGTGGGAATTCCTGACATGATACCAAGGACGTGGTTTTAAACTGGTTTGGTTGGAAATTCCACCACCGTTCTTGAAATTGAATTTCTCCTTAATAAAAGGGGCTCGTTTGGAAATACCTGAATGTTTGGATTTGAAAGAAATTAAAATATTTGCTAATCTCTCTCTCAAACAGGTTTAAGTTTCTAAACGAGCCTCCACGTCACTAACCCCGGTTTGGGGGCGTGATAAGGAGTCTGTTAAGAACTCAGGATTAAGATCATTCTATATATGACCATCGGTAGACTCAATTAGAATTTCTATACTTAACAGAAATTATTAGAAATTCATATTGTGTCTGTGTTCTTGTTCCACATAATCTCATTATGTGAAATACACTCATTCAATATCTCGCCATATTAACAGTGCGGATAACACCGTTCCATTCTAAATGGGAATGACATGTATTAATAATATTTTAATTAAAGATTATGAACTTTAATTAAATTCATTATGAACATTGCTTTTTGATTATTATCCTTAAACATTATCCTCTCGTATATAACACTTATATACAATGTTTAAGGTTACATAAATAATCACGAAATTTTCATTGATATTCATAAAATATTCATAAATATATACTCATAAAATAATGAATAAACTCTTTTATTAAATAAATAATAAATATCCTATTACATCTTATGCTTCTAGGACACCATTCCCAACACTCCATTCGGATACTTTCCACATAATTTGCATATAAATCCCCACGAAAATCTCCGTCAAATCATTGAAGCAAATCTGAATGTTCTTTCATACTTATATGTCCCGTTCATTTTAATGATTCGAGTTTAGAATTCAATTTTTGCTACAATAAAAAACTTTCAGAAACAATCACATCTAACTTTTTTATTAGAATAAAAAGCTTTCACATAAAGTTATATTTTAACTCGAATCAACGAACTAAATGAGTCCATAGTCAATCAAGCTTTTCACATAATCCGATCCTCAAATCTACCCCATTACCACGTAGATCTTGTTTTTAAATTTTTTACAGACACATGCCAAAAACAAGCCAACTAACAAAATACCTAACATTTACTTTTCTTAATCCTCAATTGCTCGAAAATGTTATAGATCATCTCAAATAGAGAAGCAAAGGTATCACTGCAATGGTGAATCGTTAGTTAAATTACTAATACATATTTACCTTATGCCATGTGCTTAATTAACCATACTAGCAAGAAATACAGTTACGTAAGCAGTTAAAGATAATAGGAACACGAAAACCTACGAGGCCGTTAGTCATTAATACATTAGTAGAAGAAATTCTGTGGAAATTATGTGTAGCTTGTTCAAAGTGAAACCTACGTGGCAGTCATTAATACATTAGAATTTGAGTTTTATTACAGTAAAAAATTTTCAGAAACAATCACATCTAATTTTTTTACTACAGTAAACTCTCACACAATATTACATCTCAACTCGAATTAAAAAATCGAATTAGTGAACCGAACAGTCCCGTTTAATTGTGTTTCCGTTGGTGGAACTTGCTTTTTATGCTTTTTTTTTTTTTTTTGCCTTTTTGCAATGAGATTCTCAACACCTGTTAATTTGATATTTCCCTCGACCTTAGATGAACTAAAAACTACGTATGTACTCAATCTTTAGTGTATATTTTTGAGTAATTTTCCTTTATGGAATCCAATACAGTACACTATTGTTTTATTTGAGTTTACAAGATAAAATTGATTGTTTATTTGTGTCGTGTTTTGTTGTAATAGGAGAGTGTGGGTTTAGATTGGCGTTTATATTGTCTTAAATAAATTCTCTCTTTTAGAAAACAGGAGGATCTTAGGTAATTATGGATTAATTAAGGAGGTTTTTATTTTCAGAAAAAAGGAGGGTTTTTAACTCTCTTGTAGCTAATAAAGAGATTAATCATCAATGGTATGTTCATTTCACTTCACTGATTTAAATTTAAATTTTAAATTTTATTATAATAAAAAAATTTAAAAATAATTATATTTAATTTTTTTATTATAATAAAAAAAATTTTAAAAAAATTATATTTAATTTTTTTATTATAATAAAAAATTCTCATTTAAATTAAAAATTCGAATTAACCGCCTAAGAACGCGAATTTATGCTAGTAACATTAAGGACTTGACTTAAGAACGTATCCTGGACGCTCTGGCCATTAACTAACGTACGACTCTGGTCTACGTTCTGACAATCGCAGTTTCTAGATGGCAACATGGACTGACTTTCTTCCTCAGACCACGCGTTTAATTTAAGCGCGTGAACACTCTCTAGGGTAAATACTTATAAAAGTCCCCATGTCAGCAAAAACAACAACAACAATAATAATAAAATACAAAAATAAAAATAATTAAATGTCCTATATTGTCCTACCTGGAAGCTTCACTCGTTCCATCAATGAAAGAAGATGAAAGTCCACAATGGACATTTCCTTCCCATCTCCTGCTGATTTCATTTTTTCATTTGCAAGACTTTCATAACCTTGTTGACTAAGAAACAAAATAGAAAACACCAAGTACAATGATAATTAATACCCGTATTTATATCCAATCCAACAAGCATTACAAAACGCAATCCAACTTTTCCCATTATACTTCCTCTTTTTATCTCCTATTATATGATCATATAAAACAATAAAAAACTCTCCCATTAATTTATTAATCACACAAAGCAAAATCATATATTTCTGATTAACATAAACTTTTTTTTTTTTTTTTTGGTTGTCAACTTCCATGGAGTTCTTCAGCAAAGCCAAGGCCGTGAAGCTCCGGAGCCATCTGGACAAGTACTTAGTCGCCGGCGACGATCACGAGACCGTCAGGCAGAGCCGCAACGGTGAGTTGAGGAAGGCCAGGTGGACGGTGGAGCGCGTGGCGAACAAGAGCAAGGCGATACGCCTGAAGAGCTGCCACGGCCGTTACCTGACGGCGACGGACGTGCCGTTCCTGCTTGGCATGACGGGGACCAAGGTCGTCCAGGCCGACATGGACACAAACGACGTCGCATCCAACTGGAAGTACGAGTGGGAGCCGATACGCGACGGGTTTCAGGTGAAGCTAAGGAGCTGGTGCGGCAAGTTCCTCCGGGGAAACGGCGGGACGCCGCCGTGGCGGAACTCCGTCACCCAAGACGATCCCCACACCTCCTCCACGCAGAACTGGATCCTCTGGGACGTCCTCGAGGCTGACGAGCTCTCCGAATCGGACTCTGTTGCCGAGTACTTGTCGTCGTTGTCGGGCCTTTCTTCGGTCTCCGATGAAGTTCTCAGCGAACTTGGATCGCCGGTGTCGATTAAATCGGTTACTTCACCGAAAGTTTCTTCTCCGAAGTTTTCCTTTAAACTGGTATGTTCTGAACCGTCAAATTTTCATTATATCATTCATTTTTTTGAAAGAGTATATCATAATTTCATTTTAGTTAATTATGATTCATTTTAGTTAATTATATATTTGTGACTTGATAATTGTGATGTGAGTCGATACGCAAATCTTTCTTGGATGAAGTTGATGTTGTTTAATTTGGTTTACCATCTTGGCTGGGCAATAGATGACCAATTAGGGTGAGTCGTATATACATATATTGGTCATACTAAAGACAAGAAGTTTGAGATTTTAACCCTGTCTTGTTTTACTATGCCACTATTTTCTGGGCATTGAAAACATCGATTTTGACGTATAATGAGGAATCACTTTCATGAATTTTGAATAGTCATATAGTGCTGTTGATGCTTGGACTTTAACAAGTAATCTGTGTGAACCAGAATTAGTTTGCCTCACTATGGAGCTATTTGTTGTTTTGGAAAGTTGTAGCACTTTGGAGGGTGTGGCATGCCCTTAAATTTGCTTTACTACATATAATATAGAAAGAGACCATAAAAATGAATAATGTAAAACTCTTGAAATTAGGATTGAGTGGGAGATGACCTTCACTGCAGAGTCATATAAATTAATGGGTTGCTATATTTTTCCAACTTAGTATAAATTCTCACCGACTCCTGCGCACTACTTATAAAATAGGTCTTACATAAGTGGCATTATTAGAAAGTGGAAACACGTGCATAAACACTCGTGCCCTCCTGTCAAAAGATTCATTGTTTTTTTAAAGAATTACTGAGTTACTTTTAAGTAGGGCTGTTTATGGGTTGAGTTGGTGTAGGGTAGAGCTTTTTTTTTCCGCCCTATAAGGTGCGAGTTATACATATTTAGCCTTAACGATGTTAGAATTTTTTCACAATCCAACGATGTTCGGGTTGGGTTGGGGCGGTGCGGGGTGGGTTGAGTGGTCGGTTTCAACATTCAAAAAATTAGAGACTTAAAGTTCAATCTAACATTGAAAGTTCATAATCAAATAGAAATAACAACCATTCTTATGAGTCCATCTAACATCAAACATGTAGCGAAGCAGTCCATCCAACATCAAATATAAAGCAAACATAAATTAGTTTATACTCATAAATTAGTCTTAACATAAAGCAAACATAGATGCTTAATTCAAATCCATCTAAAGCAAGCATTGCAACAGCAACAATCCTTATCAGTCCACACTCATAGGCTCCTCAATGGTTGTAGTAGGACATGAAGTTGAGTTATCTACGAGAGAAATGAAAAAGCTTAAGTAATAATTTAGATAGTTAGTTTAGACATGTGTTGTGCGGGTTGGGTTGAGGGTTGTGGGTTGTTATGGGCCCAACCCACAACCCGCCCCAAACATTTCGGGTCAGAAGTATAATAGACTGAAAATTAAAAAAAATATTACGGGTTACTTTTTTCGAGTTAGATTGAGACGGTGCGGAGTGAATTTACGAATTATTTGGGTTTATAAACACCCCTACTTTTAAAATTGAATGAGTTTAATTACTATCTTTTTAATTTATATAATTATTTAAGTAAATAGATATTAATTTAAAAATAAAAGTACAAATTTAAACTCACACGCTTTTAAATATTGCATTTATCTTCTTTCTTTGTTCTTTTGCCACCTGCTATGTACTTAAGTAGTTTTCATTCTCTCGTGGGCATAGCTATACATCTTTATCACGAAACTTAAGTAGTTTCGTCCAAGGTACAACCCTATCCACACACTTTTTGTTTTCCTTAATTGTTTACGTATAGACCTTAGAGCCTCAAAGAAGTTTCACACACAGGGAATTATGACCAATGTAGTACTTTTTGGAATAAAAAGTAATCCAACCAGTAATTTCAGTATGTATTACTAACGCGATTAAGTATTCAATCCTTTTCATGGAATATTATGTGAAATGTACATATGGGCCTTTATGTCAAATATCTAACATCTACTCATGCACAGTGATTTCTAATTTAAAATTTCCTTTGTAGTCGATTATTTGATTAATGAGCAGCCGGATATATTCATTTTTTTTTTAGAGTTTGGTTTTAAGAGTTGCATCAAACCGGATATTCAACATATATAAGAATCAGAACATGGAATCTATTCGGTTTCTTTGAAATGACCATGACCAGAACCAGATTATTCATAAAGACAGCAGAGCTATATCTTAGCCGAGTCGTCGTTTCAATTTCATGGCTGCGGCTGCGTAAGACGCGCACGGAACCTCAAGTAAAAAAAAAAAAAAAAGTCATACAAAAGTTTATTAAAATCCATGCCACGTAAGCCCCCGCGTCCACCCCATAAAAACGTGTTGTTCTTAGCTGACTGGCTGGCGCTTGACCATTGATCATCATCAACTATCCAATTTATTTTTATTATTATTTATTTCCTTGAAAAACAAACTCTCACACGCCATATATAGAGAGATGCTAGATACACACGTCTGAAAAAATCTCAAGAACTCTAGAAGAAGATCAACAAAGTCTCACTTTTGTTTTTGTGTTTGGTCTCTTGTCGTTTTAATAATTTGCAGAGAAAGCATTCCAACCTATCCAATTTATCAACCGAATCCAACAAGTTCCGAAGCGGAATGGACCTGTTCCGGAACGCGAATGCGGTGCGGCTCCAGAGCCACCTCGACAAGTATCTTCTGGCGGAGGAGGATGAGGAGACGGTGACCCAGGACCGAAAGGGATCCTCCAAGAATGCGAAATGGACGGTCGAGTTCGTACCCGGATCCGACTCCATAGTCCGCCTCAAGAGCTGCTACGGCAAGTACCTCACCGCCTCCAACCTGCCCTTCCTCCTCGGCATGACGGGCCGGAAGGTCGTACAGACGCTCCCCCGCCGCCTAGACTCCTCTCTCGAGTGGGAGCCCATCAGGGATGGGTCCCACGTCAAGCTCAAGACCCGATACGGCCACTTCCTCAGAGCCAATGGCGGCCTCCCGCCGTGGCGGAACTCCGTCACTCACGATATCCCCCATCGGACCGCCACACAGGATTGGATCCTCTGGAGCGTCGAGATCGTCGAGATCGCCGTCAGATCCCCCGGCGCCAAACCGTCGGATCTCCCTCCGCGCGAGACTCTCCCCCACTCAGATTCTCTCGAGTTCGAATCGAGCTCGCCGTCGTCGGGTTCGATCACATACGCCAATTTCTCCAGACAAGAGGTTCGGAATTCGGAATTGGAATTTGAATCCTCGCCGATCTCTTCGAAATTGATTCTTCTTTTTTCGAATTTGATTTTGACTTTTTTTCATTATTTTCTTTCAGTCGAGTGATTCGTACGCGGGTTCGCCGCCGAAATTGCAGGGAAGGACGATATACTACCACATAGCGGATGACAATGGCGAAGTGGACGATGAATCTGTGGAGGGTTACTCGTTTAGCTTTAGGGGAAATGGAGTTGATGAGTTGACTCGGAAGTTTGAAGAAGAGACTGGGATTGAGGGGATAATTATGTGCACCAGAAGCCCTTTGAATGGGAAGTTGTATCCTCTTCGCTTGCAGCTTCCTCCCAACAATGTCCCCGTGCAAGTTGTTGTTGTTCTCCGCTCGTCAAAAGGTTAGCTTTTTTGGTCTCTTGATGTTTTTTTTTTTTTAATTACTTTTTTTGGATGTTTATTTCTTGTGCCATGATAAAGTCTCTGTTTTTTTATTTCTTGGTGGAGAAAATAAAGGGATAAATATGCAATTAGATGAATGCCTATATTTGTGGAAAAGTTTTAGGTATGTGAACATGAAATTGGATAAAAAAGTTTTGGATTTGTAAACAACTTTGGTCTATTCCGATTTTTGTAAGAAGTTCGCTTAGGGTAAACATGCAGTTAGATTTAGACTTTGTGTGGAAAAGTTCACGAATAACGTGGCATTAAACTTGAAAGAGTTTTGGAGGCTGCATGTTGTCTGCGTAGTCTAGTGGTGATTTCACACCTTGCTCTATTTTGAGATTATAGAGCTCAGATCCCACGTCCCAAATTTAAAAAAATAAAAAATAAAAAACCTTAAAGGGATTTTGGTTTAGTGAACAACTGTGGTCATTACCGACTTCATATGAAGGTCGCTTATGCAACATGCAATTAGATTTAGACTCTGTGGAAAAGTTAACGAATAATGTGGCATTAAACTCAAAAGAGTTATGGAGGCTGCATTTTGTCTGTGCAGTCCTTACTCTATTTTGAGATAGAGTTCAGATCCCACATCCCAAATTAAAAAAAAAAAAAAAAAAAAACCCTGGGACGACTTAACGTTTCCCTTCGTCCCGTCATTCCGAAGGAATGAAGTAAGGGACGACCTTATCCTCTTCCTCGGCCTGCCATTCCTTTCCAAGGAATGGAGTAAGGGCCGACCTTACCGTCCTCTCTCGTCCCGCCATTCTGAAAGAATGGAATAAAGGGACGACACTACTTGTATTAACGGCCCACCATTCCGAAGGAATGGGATAAGGGCCAACCTTATAATAAGTCAGGAATAAAGGGCCTACCTTAGATAGAGTAGTAACAAGAAAGAGGCCCGCCATTCCTTTCCAAGGAATGGAATAAAGGGCCTACCAAATAAAGAGTTTTGTAACCAAATCATACCTTAATCTTACCGTATTTTGGTTTAGGGAACAACTATGGTCATTTCCGACTTCATAGGAAGGTCACTTATGCAACATGACTCCAACATATGTGGATTTCTAATTTGATCTTTGTTGATTCCGCTTCTTTCTTTGGTTTTAGTTTTTCGTTTTGCACTCATCAGTTCAAACAGGAAATTGATTTTTTTTTCTTTTTTTTTTTTCCAGCGGCCAGTGAATTCGAGAAACAAGGTTTATTATAGGGTATGCATCCAGTCGCTAGAGACATCACTGCAACAAACAACTACTTGTAATGTACATTCTCATCTATTACCTGTTCATATTACCAATGTCAAAGTGTTTGAAGCGACTATGCATTGTTGACTTGTGGGCTGCCTCATCCATAATGCTCAAGCTTGTGCGGTTAGTGGAAATGGAGAGAGAACGTGCTTCCATGGAAGAAGAGGTTTTCTATCAAGCGTGGTTAAAGCTTAGTCTCAACTCTTTATGAATAATGAAATTTTGGGAGCCTGCAAAATCGATTTTATTGCATCATTTTTCTTTATTACAATTATTTTGTTTTGTTTTTTAATTTTTTTTTTGGATTTTCTTCTCCGACGTAGAGATATGTGGTTTCATAGTTTTGTATGTCCTGCTACAATTCACTTTTCCTTATAACTAGGCTTGTTTTGTTAGAGTTTGCCGCGGAAACTATTTGCAGGACAATATTGTATTCTAGATATGATTCGATTGCTTAAGATATCTTGCCATCGATTGTATGATTGCCATTTTGAGGAGCTATTTTGCTACGGTGTAAAAGGCAATATCATTGAAATGGTCTAAAATTGCAGCATCAAGATGCAAAAAAAGTCTTGAGAAATTTTTGTTTTAGCGTGAGCTATCTCTTGCTAGAAACCCGTTAGGTTTATTTTAGAATTTTGCTTAGAAAAAGACTTGTGCGATGTATAACATTGACCATCCACTTCTAGCTGTTTTAGAACGTCATTGTGCACAAATCGAGTAAACTGTTACTCTGTATCAGCTAATAGTTTTTTAATCTTTCTCGTTACCTTTTGATGTCATTTACGTTGTTACTATAATATATAACGGTGTGGAAATCGGTGATCCAATCCAAACTTATGAAATGAGTCACTACACATTTGAAATAAAATATGCATGCGTGTATAATTACGAAGCTCAATCACTTAAATTATTAGAATATTTCAATCAAGCCGTTAAACAAGCGTATTGCAAAAATAATAATAAAAAATTGCAAGGTTAAGATTCTTTCGACACAGTTTGTTGACCTGGAACAAGAGACATGAAATCAGGAAGGTATTCATTGTTTCAGAATAGTTAATTGCATCATTTGATTTCATTATTAACGAGGAAATATTGTAGAATCAAAGGAGATCATGTGCACGCATGCCCAAGCAAGTGACTGTTTAACTTGTGACAGGGCTAGGGAAACATAAAAAATACTAGAAAAAAAGGGTCCAAAATGACAAGTATTTTGGTCAATACGCTCTCAAGTGATCTAAAGTTGACATGATCGGGTTCAGATTGCCTACATCTGAGTTGTTTACAATATATATATATATATATATATATGTATATGAGCTACACTTTCTTTGGTAAATATGTGATTTAACTGCGACAAATGAGCTTGCCATCACACTGTATTACAAAAAGAAGAGAATAAAAAGAAAATGATTCATTCTCATATTTGATTAAAGCAACCAGAGGTGCAGAGCTTATATAGCGTGAGAAGGCTTTACATCACGTACAAAGTCACGCATAAGGAGCTGTACAGCTCAACAATGGAATAACTAACAGTTTGTTATAACAAAATAAAAAATGAATAAAAGAGAAAAGAATAGGAAAATAGGCTAAAATACTAAAGCTCCCCCTCAAGATGAAAAGTATATGTCATGAATTCCCATCTTCGACAGTAAGCTGTGAAATTGGGAAGGATGAAGAGCTTTAGTTAGTATGTCAGTAAGCTGATTTTGTGTTGTAACGTGTAAGGTTTTCAATAACCTAGCTTGGATTTTCTCTCGAACAATATGACAGTCAATTTTGATGTGCTTTGTGCGCTCATGATAGACTGGATTTGCTGCAATATGGAGAGCCGCTTGATTGTCACAGTAAAGAACAACAGGATTAGGATGAGGGACCTTCAAATCACTAAGTAGAGAAAGTAGCCAAGTGATCGCACAAGTAGTGTTGGCCATGGAGCAGTATTAAGGTTCAGTAGAAGATCTTGAGACAATTGGTTGTTTCTTGGATTTCCAAGAGATGAGAGAAGGCCCAAGGAACACACAAAATCCAGAAATGGAGCGGTGAGTGTCGGGACATGAAGCCCAATCAGAATCGGCAAAGGGTTTAAGCTGAATCATAGAGTTAGTTGGAAAGAAAAGACCTTGCCCTAGTGTCCGTTTAATGTATTGTAGAATGCGAAAAGCAGCATAGAGATGTGGTGTGCGAGGAGCCGCTAGAAACTGGCCGAGACGATTGACTGAGTAGCTCAAGTCTGGACGAGTAATGGTAAGGTACAACAACTTACCAATGAGCATCCTGTAACTTGTTGGATCTTCAATCAAATCACCATCATCTTGCGATAATTTTAAGTTTGGATCCATAGGTATAGTGGTTCGTTTGCAACCCAAAAAACCAATGTCTGAGAGCAATTCCAATGCGTACTTTTGCTGGCAAATTGAGATGGCAGCGGATGATCTAGCCACTTCCAAGCCAAGAAAATATTGAAGAGAACCCAAATCCTTCATTTTGAACCTTTTATTAAGAACACCTTTTAAAGTGTCCACAACGACAGGATCATTGCTAGCAATGATAATATCATCAACATAGACCAAAAGAGACAAAAAAGAAACACCACGATGTTTCGTAAATAAAGTGTGGTCACTAGATGATTGAACAAAACCTTCAGACAACAGTGCACTAGAAAATTTTTGAAACCATTGTCGTGAAGCTTACTTTAAGCCATCCATAAATGGATTTGTGGAGCTTGCATACGACATTAGAGGGCAAATGCTCCCCGTCACGACAAGGATAGCCAGGGGGAAGGCTCATGTAGACTTCCTCAACAAGATAACTATGAAGAAATGCATTTGTCACGTCGAGTTGAATGAGTGACCAGCCATAAATTGCAGCTAATGAAATCAAAAATTTAACAGTAACTAGTTTTGCAACAGGGGAAAAAGTGTCAAGATAATCAATACCTTCTTGTTGTGTAAAATCCTTAGCCACAAGATGAGCTTTGTGCCTTTCCACTGTCCCATCAGCACGATGTTTCACTTTATATATCCATTTGCAGCCAACCGGATGTTTGCCAAGAGGAAGAGAACAAATGGACCAAGTGCCATTGCTTTCCAAAGCCTGCAACTCAACAGTCATTGCATCACGCCATACCTGAGACTCAATGGCTTGACTCAAAGATGTGGGTTCGGTTTGGGAGTTGATGGCAAGGACAAAAAAAGGGTATGGTTGAGAAAGCTTGTGATAACTTAAGCAGGAAGAAATTGGATATAGAGTGATTTTGGAGGAAATGTGGCTAGATGAGTATCAATGGTAGTCAGATAAATATGCTGACGTCTTAATGACACGAAGGGGACAAGAAGAAGAAGGAACATAAGGTAGTGATGGAATAGACTCGGAACTAGAGGAAGGAATGGATTGAGACGTGCTCTAGCACGAGGAGTAAACTTTGTACGATGTCTAGGCAAGGTGGAGGCATAGCATAAGCATCCGAATGTGCGAAGGTGTTTGTAGTCAGGTTATTTATTTATTTATTTAACATTTCAAATGGAGTTTTATTTGACAACAATGGAGAAGGAGTGCGGTTAATCAAATAAACGGCAGTCAACACACAATCACCCCAGTAACAAAGAGGAACACATGATTGAAAATGTAAAGCGCATGCCACATTGAGTATGTGTTGGTGTTTACGCTCAACAACCGAATTTTGTTCAGGAGTGTCAATACATGAGTGGTAAGGAAGGACTAGTGCTGGAACTTTGGACGGGCCGCCCGCGACCGCCCGAAAAGCCCGAGGATTTGCCCGAGCCCGAACCCGACCCGCCCGAGATTTTGGGGCTGCCCGCCCGAGCCCGAATTTCACCTTGAACGGGCCGCGGGCTTGTATTCGGCGGCCCGAGCCCGCCCGAATTGCCCGAATTTTTTAAACTTTTTTTTAATATTAAGTTATTTATATATATATATATTAGTATTACAATTTATATATATATTATATTTATATATATATTAAATTTGAAATGAACACACGAATTATATAAGAAAATTATTTCTTTAAATGAGATGTGGAATTGGAAATGCATAATTCATTATGTAGAAGTTGGAGTTTTACATGCGACGGATGACCAAGGCGAAAATGTCAAATATCACCCTTTGACATTGCTGAATTAGAAAAAATAGAACTACAATATTCATTCCCTAGGTCTAGGAAATAGAGGTTGTTTTGTCTGCTACCCTTCCCAATCATCAAGTCCAGAGTGAGGTCCTGAATCACACATGAATTTGGGAGAAAATTAACACTACAAGTATGACTAAGAGTAAGCGCACTAATGCTCAGAAGATTGAAAAGTAAACATGGGAACATATAGCACATCATTCAAGCTCAAGGTGTCAGACAATTTTACAGAACCGATGCGAGTAATGTCTGAAGTGTGACCATTCGGAAGAGTGACTATGGTGTTTGCGATAGGTGTAGAATGAGAAAACAGGGAAAGATTGTGACACACATTATGTGTAGCACCGGTATCAATAATCCAAGCATCAGATGGAATGGAAGGATGAGAGAAAGAAAGGGCGAAAGAGATATTACCACTGAGTTGGG